CCGGCCCCTTGGCATCCGCGCGCGTTAAGGATCCGGTCGCCCCGATGAAGGCCGCGCCCTCTGGCGGCGGCAGCTGTCATCGCTGCAGAGGCGGCGGGACGCGTCGTCGCCTCCTTCGCGTCCAACAGCGGCTACCCCAGACGGCAGACAGACCATCCCCGCCGCGCCGTCGGGACCAAGGGTCCGGACCGCCGGCGCGGGCGCGGGCTGATCACTGATCCCCGTTGCCCGGTCTGCCGGCCCGACAGGCCGGGTCCCGGACTACCGACGCCTCATCACCACTCCCTGTCCGCGCCCCCTAGCGGCGGTATTTCAACTGATGCCCTCTCCCGACAGGTGTCGTCACAGGTCTGACTCCTATGGCTGTCCTGCGTCCATGCCTGTTGCAGTGTTAGCCGCCGGTCTAGCAGTTGTGCTAAGCAATGCTGCGTTGCATGATACATTTCCAGTGGCGAGCGCCGACGGTAAAGCAATCACCGCGTTCTCTGTTTCCCAGGGCTCTGGTGTCTGGACGTGTTTGGTAGCGTAGGGGAGCCGGGTGGGGGTGATGGTGGCGGCGGGATGTGGACGGTGCCAGGGGAACACCTCGAAGCTGGATGTCTCCCGGCCGGCATGCGGCGACAGTGTTTGGTCTCGTGTTTCAGTCCGCCGGCCTGCCGCGCCGCCTGCCGGCCAGGCGCCGCTCCCCTCCAGAATCCCGCGCCCCGTGCCGGCCCGGCCGACTGCCGCCGATACTGGGCCGTATCGGCCGGCGTGTCGGCCCCGCCCCCCACCCCCCTCTCGGCTGCGGCCGCCGCGGCCCGTCAGCTACGCGCGCCGCTCTGTTTCGCCGCCACATCGCCAGGTGGCAGGCCGGCTGCCGCTCGGCGGCTGGCCGGCCGCCGCGGTCAGTAGGGAGATGTGCCGTGGCGCAGGCCAGCCTGGTCCCACGGACCGGGCTCGGCCCGGGCTCTATCTCTCTCTGTCTGTCTGTCTCCCCTCCTCCCCTCTGCCGCGGTCCGGCCACGGCTCTGCCCCTCCCCCCGCGCCGACGGCGGCGGGCTGGCCGCTTCCTCAGGCCCCCTTCCTCGTGTGATCGGGATCGTAGACGTGTGACATGGACGTGTGAGGCGTGGGTGCGTGTGATGAGCCGGGGGCGTGTCGGTGGGGTGACGCGTGATGGCGTGTGGGACGAGCTCCGACGCATGCCGCATGCAGCGCTGCTGGCGCTCACTCACAAACTCTTCCGCTTGGCTGCGAGTGGCAACTCTGCCGGCGCGTCGCCGTGGCAGCGCCACGGGGACCAGCCGGCCGCCGCCAGTCCCGTCGTGCCGTGCCGGCCGTGTCTCGGAGCACAAGTTGTTCTCATTGCACGCTCTCCTTGGAGGCTTCCGTGAGTCGCGAACTATGACTCCGTCTGTGCCGAACGTTGTGCCACGCCATGACTGTGTATCTAGTGGCGCTGTCGCTATGTTCACAGGCGTCCATTCGTCGGAGTCACTACAAATGTTTTCAGAGTATGTAGAAGGAGTCTCAGGACATGGACCAACACTCAGAAGGTGAGCATTCTCCGAACGCAGTGCTCCTCCTCCTCATTCGTCGTCCTGCTCCACCTCCTCGGTCCTCCTTCCCCTCCTCAGTCCTCCTTCCCCTCCTCAGTCCTTCTTCTCCTCCTCAGTCTTCCTGATCCTCAGTCTCAGCCCTCCCTCCGGCTGCATTCGTCTGGTCCTTGTTTTCGTCGCAATCCGAGAACAGGTGCTGCTAGCTGTGCTAGGATCTTAAATATGAACAAAAAAGCCCGTCAGTCGCGTTGTGCTCAAAACATCTGAACAGATGTGCAAAACAATTGGTGGTATAAATGTGCCAAAAGATATGTAGTGTGGTATTACTTATATTTAGTTTATATTTTACGTTACTTCACTCATATATAATGTTCCATGTTTCATGGATGGCTGCGATTAATGCTGTAAAAACACATCCCTTACTCATGTTTCGCTCGCTTGATGGTCCTGATCAGTATTGTGAAAACAGCATTGTGTGGTGCCTGTGATAAGTTTGGTGAAGAATACCATTGGGGATATTCTTTGATAGCATTTACTCATGATGCGCGAGGCAAGGAATGCGAAAAACATGTGAACGGTTGCTGTCGAATCTGCGCGCGCCCTCGTCAGAATATGTAAACAGTGAATGTCGAATCTGCGCGCGCCCTCGTCAAAATATGTCAACAGTGGCTGTCAAATCTGTGCGCGCCCTCGTCAGAACCTGAGTAGGAAACCACGAGAAACGCAGCAATGGTGACCCTTCTACGTGTTATTGGAATGGGCAGATGTTGCACGCGACTCGCTATCAATGCCAAGCCACAACGGCTCTAACAATAGCGCACATCGGATATATAGCCTCCGGTTAGGTATTTTTGCGCTCTCTTTACCTTACATTTCATGACCAAAGGCTAGTCGATATTTTGATTTGAAATGATGTTCAGAATCGCACTTTATGGAATTAAATCCAGAGAACGCTAAAATGTGAAAAAGAAGCGTGGCCGTGCGCCTGTCTGTCCGCTAGTCCCCTACACCGACCGAAGCAGGTTGTGGCCTTGCGCCTGTCTGTCCGTGTCGGTGCCCGAGTGGCCTTGCGCCTGTCTGTCCCGTGTCCGTGTCCGAGTGGCCGTGCGCCTGTCTGTCTGTGTCCGTGTCCGAGAGACCGTACGCCTGTCTGTCTGTGTCCGTGTCCAAGTGGCCGTGCGCTTGTCTGTCTGCGCCACCTGTGTCCGTGCCGGGGCGGCAGCTCACGCCGGCCTGGCCTCTCCGTTCCTACAGAATGGTCCGCACCGAGACCCGCACGATGACGACGTTCGATGACGAGGGCCGACCGGTGACGTGCACGGTGACGGAGCGCACCACCACCGAGGCTGACGGCACCGAGAGTCGCCAGCTGGTGGAGACCGAAGACTAAGCGGCGGCCAAGCGCCCTGGCCGGCGCCGATGGGCGCGCTAGGCGGGCGGCGGCTCGCCATCAGCACTGGTGCGCGCTGGACAGACTGCTGCCGGCGAACCGAGATGTGTCCACGGAGGGGATGGACTTGTGCTGTTTGCCACACTCACGCCGTGTTGCCTTCTGTTTATGAGAAACGGCTATTGCTGTGGGGCGGGGCGCGACGCCGGTCGCGCGCGCCTGGGACCGGCCACCCGTCGCCTGGCCAGCAAATTGCCCCTTGCTGGCTGAGAGGCGGCCTCGGCCCTGGCGGACGGCGGCGGCCCCGGCCCTGGCTTTGCTTGGGTACAGGGCTCATGGCGACCCACAGAGCACCGGCTTCAGTTGGAGATCAAAAACACTACCGTTAGGTTTGTCTATCGAATGTGACGTTTTGTCCGAATGCTACATTGTCTAGTCAAAGGTAGCCCACTAAATGGTTGATGAAACTGTGCGGAAATTCGTTTTCTTTGTGATTTTTCATGAAGGATCGTGTTTTTGAACGGTGGTGGTCATTGGAAGGACGCTAAATCTGTAACGTGAACGTTATGTGCTAAGAAGGGCCACTTTGGCGTGCACTGGTCATGCAAGCTGCTTTGGGCTTTGAGTATCCGTGTGTCTGTTGTTATATTGCACGCGGGCGCGCGTGCGACGCCGGGCGGGCGTGGCCTCTCTCCATTCTCGGCGCCGCCCCTGCGGCAGGTCCGGCCCGCTCGGCACGCTGTAGATCATGTACCGGCGCGGGCGTGTGCGTGCGCATGCGCGACTGCGTGTGCTATTTGGCTTCAAATACTAGTGTGCGTCCCTTATTCGCGGCAGCTTGTCAAGGCAGGTCAGGGGTGGCCGGCGGGCCTCACAGGGCCTCGGGACTGGCCGGCCATCCCTTCTCCGCTGGGGACGCGGACCTCCGCGGTGCGTGCGACATATGCCAATAAAATAAATATAAAACAAACGTGGTATTTAGTAGTCGCCGGTCGAGCGAGGCATGGGTCGAGGCGCGGCTTAAAGGGAACCGAGGACAGACAGCGGATTGCGCAGGGCTACGGGCCCGCGCAGAAGCTGTTCGGGCGGCTGGGCCGGCGGCGCGGTCCCGAGCCGGGCGCGCGGCGTCGCTGCTGGAGTCATGGCGTCGAACGTGAGCACGGAGCGGCGGCCGTTTCGAGCGGATTAGGTACATGTTGAAATCAACCTAGCTGCGACTCTGTTGTGGTGTTGAACGCTGTGATGATCGCCTCGGCTGCACTGTCGCTGTCCGCGCCGGCAACACAGTGACGTCATGACCACGCTGGCGACACTGTGACGTCACGAACGCACTTGCGACGCAGTGACGTCACTACCGCGCTGACGATCTAGTGACGTCACGACCGCGAAAGAAAGCATGCCGCACTTCATCAGCAATCATGAGTGCGCTGGGCATTCATTGGTGAAAAGCAGATATCGGATGAGGAAGAATCATTTATTTTCAAAACGAAGCTAGAGCCAAGTGACCGAGAACGAAACTATATCACGTGAGCTTGCGCTCGCCGCTGTTCAAAATGGAGGTTTTGCTTATGTAACCGCATTTGACGGCGAACAAGCCGAAGGCCGCGCTGGTGCGTCCGTCATGGCGATCTCGCAACGTCGGGAGGGCATCCACCCTATCCCGCGTCACAGTGTCGTCTCTTCACTTCCTTAGAACTTCTGGGCATCTTGGAATGTCCAGGGAGTCCACGTCAGCGACACTCGTGGTAGCACGGGCCATTGCAGCAGGTGCTCTTGTACACCTTGAAACAGTCTTCGTCGCTGAAGCACTCGTGAGGCGGCGGGTACTGCTGGGTGCAGACACGCGGGTAGTTGCCATAACATTCGGGGAGATCCTCTGACTACTGGCCGTTGACCGTCGCAGAGACAGAAAACAGGAGCAGACTCGCGAGCACGAGAAACTTCATGGCTGGTGTGTGACGCCTCTGGGCCGGATAATTTTTATACCAAACAAGCGCTTTTTACTGGCAGTTCTGCTAACCGCAAGGTGGTGAAGATAGCAGGGAGCCATGATAAACTAAGGCGATTAATGACGCTGCACAACAGCCCTTTCACGTCAGTGCAGTAAGCAGCCAGTAAAATTCTGCATTGCCGCGCCCGTATTCATCGTCGTGCATATCACATCATCAACATATTTGCAGCTGCACCTTTGTCGCAGGAGCACCCGTCCGTACATTGCACACGACTCGTTTAATGATTTCAGGGCGTGTTGAGCCCTAGCGTGGCAGCCGCATTGGCTATAAATTTCAGCAGTGGTTGTTTGGCTGTTTGGTAACGCGTGCCACCTTTTGAGACGATCAGCGTCAACATTTTAATTGTTCATTTCTGTGCAAAATGATTCGTTGAGTTTCCACAGTTAACACGCGCCCGGGTGGCCTGCTAGATACCCTTCGCTCGGATGTGGGGGAGAGGGGGTCAATTGATCCCGTTGAGATCACGGGAAGTAAGAAAGCTAGAGACACCAAATTTACAGAGTGTGTTGACCTGGGCGTGAAGTCACTTATATCAAAGTTTCAGGTTGCTAGGTGATTAACTTCAGCTCAAATAAGGTCAAGCAAGGTAAAATTCCAGGTTGGTCTCCAAGGTGCCCCAGAACCCGGGCAACTGTCTCTAAGCAAAAGGTCACAAGCCCATTTGAGATCAGTGGCCTTGTTTGACGTTTTCAAGGTCATGTTGATCAAAATCCTAAGACTGCTCTGAGTTTTGCAATTACATAAGCTACAAAAATTACGCTAAGGAGCATGTTCCTAAAACGAAATGTCGTACCCAGGTCATCTTAGGTTCAGCACCTGTTCTGACCTCTAAGAAGTCAGTGAAAGGTCTATAAAGCGGTTCCTGCCGTCAACAAATTCGAAATGAGTACCAGAAACTATCCCATACTGCAAGCCCTAAGGTAATAAACCACGTTGGTTTTGACCTAGGTCAACGTACTTGACCTGACCTTAGGTCAACGTATTTTGCTTATTCAATATTTTTGGTGCCTAAAAAGCATCTCAGAGATGTCTGGCTTCGTCAAACACTCCGTTGTTCTATCAGACTGAAAGATTCCCTAGAAATTGCTTTAGCTGAAACCGTGGCGTGACTTTGACCTGACATAGGTCAGCAACCTTTCAAGGTACATCTAATTGTTTTCTTACACGATCCGCTATTAAATTTTCTCCAGCTATGCAAAGGTTGGCGCGGCTACGCTTCGCCGTTAGGAAACCATTCTGGAAAAACCTTCGGGGGGGGGGGGGCATTTGACCCCACCCGAGCGCCTGTTAAGCATGCGAAATATAAATATCGTTTCGATAGCTGGGAACAGGAGCGGCGTATCCAAATTTTGAATGGGGGGGGGGGGGGTCGCCAAAGACTTAACGAATGGCCTTCTAATCCGACGGGACCCTATATTTCATTGAGGCCGTTTATTCAGTCTTAAAATCAGCGTGTGACCGCCTTCGTATCCTAATGAGTTGCGGTACCTGCCTCAACTCAGCTGCGCGAGGGTGGCTGGATTAAAGGCTCGAGTGGCTTCGGTGGTCACTATTTGTTCCTGGCGGGCAGGTCTGCGCCCGAGGTCAATGGCTGCCCAATCTCAGCAGGGTGGACAGAACCGGACACTACGACACGTTAAACCTCTGCCACAAAGTTCTGCCATTTTGCTGGAAGTTTACAATCGGATGGTCGGTCGCCCTCTTTCCGTAGGTAACCTGTGCTTTTTCTGGGCGTGACAAGATGGCACTTCTCAAACATAACGTAGGCCAGTTATGAGTTTAACCAAACGTAGGCCCGCCCCGGGCCTAGAAGATGATAGATGCCTTTTCTGTACATGAGATGCTCACTTTCTCCGCCTAAAATGGCTGGTCGCCTGATTAAAAGGGGCTCTTTTGAGTCCACTATGGCTCTTTTCAGACCTGGCACGGGCCCATCATAAGCTGAAGGCGGGCGCAGGCCTGGGCACCGGGTCATACGTGTATTCTATTTGGTCCACGCGGTCCCTTAGGGCTCTTCGGGACCGACGATTAAGGACCCGACAAGGAGGCCCGAAGAGTTGGCCAGATGATACCTCATGGAACCGCGGCCCGCAAATGCCCATCAGAGGGCCTCTTGCGCCAGTTGGGGCCCATTGGGGGCAATGAGCTCCAGCCAGCCGATGCGCGACCGCGCATTCTCAACAGTTTGCCCCGTAGGGACGTATGGCCCATTTCCAAAGTCGGGACCACCCTGCGCCCGCGATTGTCAATCAGAGGACCCTTTGCATTAGTCGGGGTCCCTGAGATAATGGTTGACCGCAGTGTTGGTCATAGGCCACAGTGTGCCAAACGGGGGACCCTACGGCGGCAAGAGCCCCGAGTCGGCCATGGTTCCGTTTTCTGGACAGGTAAAGGAGCACGACCCCGAATGTAAGGAGGCTTTTAAGTTGACCGGGCCCGCTGATAATGAAAAACATAGGATAAATGTCAATGAAAGGATCCATAATGAGACAGAGTGAAAAGGCCCTGTGTCAGACACGGGTCCACCAACGAACATGGCCCTGGACGTACACTCCATTTCGGTCAAAAGCCCGATAACCCGACCTAGAGTCATCTGTCAGTTATTGGACCCCCTGTTTCGGCGAGGGATTTTTTTGGCTTCACTTAGCCATCCTGCGTGAATCACGGATCAGCTGCTCCTGTCTGAGGGCCTTGCGCGTCAGGGAGGGGACTGATGCATGGTGCATCTCTCTGCGGCATTCGTGTCCGACAAGCGAGCTCTGGTCACCGTGTCTCCAGGATAGTAGTCAGCAAGCACCGCGAGAGGCGGGTTGTTTCAAAAATCCCCTTCGTCCCCTGACCGGAAAGGGCAATGTTATGCCCCAGCGTGCTACTTACGGGGCTTGCTGTCCGTGGAAGGTAAGGGGTCTCATATGTGCTCAATCCACTGGGCCCTCAACGAACTCATTTGTGGACATGATGATGGCGAATAAAAAGCCTGGGGCCCTC